CACTAGCCATGTAAGGCTATTAAGCACTTGACATGTGGCTAGTGCAAAAACTGAATATAAAATTTTGTTTTTAATTCTAGTTTCAATTTAGTCACATGTGTTTAGTGGTTACTATACTAGACAGTATAGATCAAAAGGATGCAGAAGTGAGACCTCTGTCATGGTTCCATTTAATCTCCTCCAGAAAACTGTTCCTGATGTCTCTGGTCAGAAGTAATATTGTTCCTATCTGTGTGTTTCCTATTGCTGCTGTAACAAATCACCCCAAACTTAGTGGCTTAAAAACACAAAGGGGCTTAAACGAACACAAATTAAGTTCTGGAGGTCTCAAGTTTCTGGAGGTCAGGAGTCCAAAATGGGTCTTAAAAGGCTAAAGCCCAAGTGGTTCGCAAGGCTGTATTCCTTCTGGAGGCTCTAGGAATGAATCTGTTTCCTTGCCGTTGCCAGCTTCCAGAAGTCACCTACATTCCTTGGCTTGTGGTTCCTTCCATCTCACAGCCAGCAGTATAGCATCTTCAAATCTCTGCCTCTGACATTCCTGTATCACTCTTTCACTTATAATGACCTTTTTTATTGCAGCAGATTAACTTGGATAATCCAGATACTCTCTTCATCCCCAAATCCTTAATTTAATCTCACCTTCAAATTACTTTTGTCATGTAAGGTAACGTATTCAGAGGTTCTGGGAATTAAGATGTGAACATTTGGGGGGAGCCATTATTCAGCCCCCTCTACTATGGCACTTATGCTGCCTTGTCTTATAGTTTCCCATGTGCTTTTCTATGAGCAGCAAAGGAGTCTTAGTAATTTTAATCCCTAGGTTAAAACTGTGGCTTTCACACTATATGTGTTCAAAATATATTTGTTGGAATGAGTTGATTAAGGTTAAAAAAAGAAGAGAGAGTATTTGATAGGTGCTGACTGAGTGAATAAAGAATGGGGTCTTAATTCAGCAAATTAATTTTGAGCATCTGCATGAATTGAACATTCACCAATCCATCAACCCATGGAATAGATTTTGGAGCAGTACTTATCAATCAGCAGTCAACTGTAGACTGAACAGTTGTACCCCGATCTGTTTATTTTAGCTCAGTGTGTTTTGGGCTATTGAGAAAGCAATGGGAAACCAAAGGCTGTTTGCATGATTCTTTAGGAAGTAAGAACAAAAAAATGTGGAATGACAATTAATAGCTTATGTCTGATAAATGCACTTCAAAACTAGAACATTTTAATATTAATACATTATTTGATAAAGGAAGTTAGTGTGTGGAAATCAATGATTACTTTATTAAGCATTTATATCTAATGAGTGAAAAATTTACTCTAGTTTGGTCTATTTATTTATTTTTATTTATTTTTTTATTATGTTATGTTAATCACCATACATTACATCATTAGTTTTTGATGTAGTGTTCCATGATTCATTGTTTGCATATAACACCCAGTGCTCCATGCAGTATGTGCCCTCCTTAATACCCATCACCAGGCTAACCCATCCCCCCACCCTCCTCCCCTCCAGAACCCTCAGTTTGTTTTTCAGAGTCCGTAGTCTCTCAATGGTTTGTCTCCCCCTCCGATTTCCCCCCCTTCATTTTTCCCTTCCTGCTATCTTCTTCTTCTTCTTTTTTTTTTTAACATATAATGTATTATTTGTTTCAGAGGTGCAGGTCTGTGATTCAACAGTCTTACACAATTCACAGCACTCAACATAGCACATACCCTCCCCAATGTCTATCACCCAGCCACCCCATCCCTCCCAACCCCCACCACTCCAGCAACCCTCAGTTTGTTTCATGAGATTAAGAATTCCTCATATCAGTGAGGTCATATGATACATGTCTTTCTCTGATTGACTTATTTCGCTCAGCATAATACCCTCCAGTTCCATCCACGTCGTTGCAAATGGCAAGATCTCATTCCTTTTTATGGCTGCATAATATTCCATTGTGTATATACACCACATCTTCTTTATCCATTCATCTGTCGATGGACATCTTGGCTCTTTCCGTAGTTTGGCTATTGTGGACATTGCCGCTATAAAATCGGGGTGCATGTAACCCTTCGGATCCCTACATTTGTATCTTTGGGTTAAATACCCAGTAGTGCAATTGCTGGGTCATAGGGTAGCTCTATTTTCAACTTTTTGAGGAACCTCCATACTGTTTTCCAGAGTGGCTGCACCAGCTTGCATTCCTACCAACAGTGTAGGAGGGTTCCCCTTTCTCCGCATCCCCGCCAACATCTGTCGTTTCCTGACTTGTTAATTTTAGCCATTCTGACTGGTGTGAGGTGGTATCTCACTGAGGTTTTGATTTGGATTTCCCTGATGCCGAGCGATGTTGAGCACTTTTTCATGTGTCTGTTGGCCTTTTGGATGTCTTCTTTGGAAAAATGCCTGTTCATGTCTTCTGCCCATTTCTTCATTGGATCATTTGTTCTTTGGGTGTTGAGTTTGATAAGTTCTTTATAGATTTTGGATACTGATATGTCATTTATCTGATATGTCATTTGCAAATATTTTCTCCCATTCTGTCGGTTGTCTTTTGGTTTTGTTGACTGTTTCTTTTGCTGTGCAAAAGCTTTTTATCTTGATGAAGTTCATTTTTGCCCTTGCTTCCCTTGCCTTTGGCGATGTTTCTAGGAAGAAGCTGCTGCAGCTGAGGTCGAAGAGGTTGCTGCCTGTGTTCTCCTTTAGGATTTTGATGGACTCCTGTCTCACGTTTAGGTCTTTCAACCATTTTGAGTCTATTTTTGTGTGTGGTGTAAGGAAATGGTCCAGTTTCATTCTTTTGCATGTGGCTGTCCAATTTTCCCAACACCATTTGTTGAAGAGACTGTCTTTTTTCCATTGGACATTCTTTCCTGCTTTGTTGAAGATGAGTTGACCATAGAGTTGCGGGTCCATTTCTGGGTTGTCTTTTCTGTTCCATTGATCTATGTGTCTGTGTCTGTTTTTGTGCCAGTACCATACTGTCTTGATGATGACAGCTTTGTAATAGAGCTTGAAGTCCAGAATTGTGATGCCACCAGCTTTGCTTTTCTTTTTCAACATTCCTCTGGCTATTCGGGGTCTTTTCTGGTTCCATACAAATTTTAGGATTATTTGCTTCATTTCTTTGAAAAAAGTGGATTGTATTTTGATAAGGATTGCATTGAATGTGTAGATTGCTCTAGGTAGCATTGACATCTTCACAATATTTGTTCTTCCAATCCATGAGCATGGAACGTTTTTCCATTTCTTTGTGTCTTCCTCAATTTCTTTCATGAGTATTTTATAGTTTTCTGAGTACAGATTCTTTGCCTCTTTGGTTAGATTTATTCCTAGGTATCTTATGGTTTTGGGTGCAATTGTAAATGGGATCTACTCCTTAATTTCTCTTTCTTCTGTCTTGTTGTTGGTGTATAGGAATGCCACTGATTTCTGTGCATTGATTTTATATCTGGCCACTTTATTGAATTCTTGTATGAGTTCTAGCAGTTTTTGGGTGAAGTCTTTTGGGTTTTCCACATAAAGTATCATATCATCTGCAAAGAGTGAGAGTTTGACTTCTTTGCTGATTTGCATGCCTTTTATTTCTTTTTGTTGTCTAGTTTGTTTTTTTTTTTTAAAAAAGACATTCCAGGATAAAAGATGTCCTGTTTGATTATTTATAAGTTAAGCATTTAGTATAATAGAAAAATATTTTATTCTACAAAATTTAAACATATACAGAAGTAGAAAGGATCAGATAACAGAACCCATGTACCCATCACCCAGCTTAAACAACTATCATCCCCAGACCTGGAATATTGTTTTAATCTGTACTCTATTCCCACTCCCTATCCCCACCTCCACCCCAAATCCTGATTATTTTCAAGCAATGTTTAGAATTGTATCATTTTATCCATAAATTTAATCATGTATAAACACATCTAGGTAGGTTTGTTAATGAATTTCCTCATATTCATGTTGGCTTCCTGCATGCTTTGGCAGCTCCATATCTGACATTTACTGTCTTTTCTTTACCTTATGTGGAATTTAGTTCTGAAGGACAAAATGTAACAACTAAATATGGAAAATGCTAAGCTGGCCAGACTTCTTTAATTTTCCTATTACTTCAATTCATATTTTAGAAAATAGCTTACAATGTGGAAGTGTATGAAATTGCAAGCAAAATTAAAACAATATTTGCATTTTTTTTCGAGAGAAAGGGGAGCTCTTAACCACAGGGGAAATATGAGTTAAAAACTTCCAAGCTCTACTCCTCTTATTTTAGGAACATATTAAATAATGTTAAGGGAAGACATATATAACCCAGTTGGAGAGGCACTTAGAGAAAGTCCAGGATTAGGGGATATTCTGAGGGAACATTTTTCATAGGAATAATTAGGTGAAGCCCACACTAGAACTGAGAAATAAGATATTGTTGAAGATGAAAGTCTGATCAGAAAGTATTAAGCCATATAAAATATAAAAATATGAAATGTTTCTTTTGGGAACTAAAGTACTATCTTTCCATATATGTCTGTATACAGTGATTATAAGTGGGCTTCCTCAATATATTATATATATTAACAAAAGTACACATTGTCAGGGTTGGCTGGGCTGGAGGAGGATGATAATTTTATTATTTAAAAATCATATGTCATTAACAGCTGCCTCTATCTTTATGTATTTCTTTCTGCCATTTTTTTGGTCTTTACTAAGAACCAGAGCTAATTTATTCATTCAGTGCACCTAAGTCACAGTACTTTATTCATAAATATACAAGTTAAATATTTGGAGGAATACATAAAATCTATCTCTAATTTTTCAAATCCAAAATTAGCATTCTACAATTTATCAAATAGAAATTCCCTGTTATGCCCCTGTGCCAAGGCAGAAAGCTTCATAGACTCAACGATTTTTAGCTGAATAGAATCTATGAAATGATCTAATTCAGCTCCATGTTTGGAGCTGGAGGTCTGTGGATCAGATGAATTGTCAAAGGTCACATGACTAAAAAGTGCCAGTTCAGGATTCACTTTAGCAGCACAAATACTGAAATTGGAACTGCGCAGAAAAGATTAGCATGGCCTCTGCACAAGGATGACACACAAATCTGTGAAACATTCCATGAAAAAAAAAAGGTGTCAGTTCAGAGATAAGAAGGCAATGTTCTTACCTCCCAGGTTGGTGACCTCGTCCCAGAGATTACAAAAGATGTCTGAAAAATGAAGAAAATTATTTGGTTCTTTTACTTACGATGGTGTAGAAACCTGTACTTTACTACTATGACATTGAATACAAGTCGTTTCAAGGAATTATGTGATTTTTAAGGTTTCTTCAAGCTCTAAGATGATGAATTTCTAAGAAGAGGCTCTGGTTTGCATTTTTTTAATTGAATACTGTTTTTGCATAAACTAATGTTATAAAACTGTGCCAAGTATTTCCAAAAGAACAAATATAAATGCAAAGAAGAAAGGGTTAGGCGTCCGCTTCTGTCTCTGTTGGTATTAGTGAAGATGATATTATGATCATAGCTGTGCTGAAAAAAGAGTTCTAGTAACAGTCACCTCCCCACATCCTCAACTTCTTCTCTGAAGACTCCCTTTACTTCCTTTCCTTAATTAAAACTTGGTTCTACCTTGGATTTTTATCACCTACTCACTCCTCACTACTGTTTTCAGATTATTTCTCCTTCTTCCTCGGGTCATATCTCCAGCTTCCAATTGCATGTATAGGTTTCTAAGGCATACAAAACCAACTGCTTTGAACTCCCATCCCTCCACCACCCTGGTGTCAAATCTACCCCATGTCCTATGCTCACTGTCCCACAAAAAGACACCCTAAGTTTACAACCGCCCAAGACAGACACCTGGGAACATTTGACCCCTCCATACCTCACCCAGTTAAAAGTCAATTTCTGTTGATGCTACCAGTTAAATACATCTCCCATCTATTTGCAGTTTTCCAAAGTTGTTGACTTGCAGTAGTTCTACTCACCATCACCTCCTTCATGAATGTGGCCACAGCCTCCCTCATTAAACTCAGCCTCTTCTAATCTGTTTGTGCTTGATGACAACCCCATGTGTAAGGTATTTTTTTCTTTTAGCATTCATATTGCCTCCGTAACAGAAACCGAACCTCAGGAAAACCAAACAATTGGCTCACATGAACACAACTCTTGAGTGTTAGAGCCAGATATTCTGACTCCTTATTAGGGTCTCACTAACTTCTGGTTGTCCCTTTTGTAGGTCTGGAGATGTGTGCACCTCTGAAGAACACGCAGTGCAGAACTGAGGCCTCCATAAGCGTAAAATAATAGAAGGCTCTCAACTTGTAAGCCCTAACCGTAACATAATGTTCAACTGTTCAAAGGACACATTCTGAGTCATAACAGTGGCATTTAGAGGCCATCAGTCTACTGCATTGTGACCTTTTGAGAACCATAACTTCATTGTGTGTAATGTTCCTACTTTCCAACATCTCATTTTATTATCATTATAAATCATGTACATTTTCTGAGAACTTTAATTTTCAGGTTGCCATAAAAACAAAAAACAAAAAACGAAGCTCTTCTTTGAAGTTATAACAACCAGTTGCCCATGAAGTCAAATAAAAAGAAATTACAGTCAATGAAAGAGCTTAGTAAATATCTTAACAGTTCTTGACTACTCTTTCCCAAGATTAGAATCATTTCACAATATGACAGAATATTAAGCAAAGTAAAAATATGTATGTTGGCTCACATACAGGGCCCTGCCTGTCTTTGTAAGCCCAGATGGCTACTGATCACATTTTAAGGTCAGTGAAAAGTAATCTCAAGTTTCACCTGACTTAAGCTGAAGAGAATAAACAGAACAATGAGTAAGTAGAAGGAAATTCTGAGATATGAAGGTTTGCGGGGGGGATTTACTGAGATGACTTTGAAGGGTAGAGTGATAGAAACTAGTTTTCACTTGTCCAAGGTTTTTATTCATTCTCCATAATGCAGGTTTATTGTAACTTGATCTGTATTCAGTCATTTTTCTGTCAATGTATATTATCATTTTGACTTGTTTTTAACACCCCATTCTTTTTGAATATTAGAAAATACCTGGGCTCAATATTGGATCTCTATGGGAGATTAGCAATTTAATACAGCAGTAGGCTATATTGCAAAGCTGCAACAAGAGCTCGGTTGACTGAAAATATAAGAAGTGTGTATATGGTCAAAGGGGGTCTCAGATATCTCATGGATGATAACAGCCTACACTGAGCCTTCTTCAGGTTTCTAGACGTAACAGTGACTAAGAACCTGGGGATAGTAATTTTGGAAACCTTTCCACAATTTGATAAAATGTGCCATATTTTCATTCCTATAATCTGTTTCATATATTTAGTGCCTGTGGTAAAACATTTCTCAAGTGTTCTATGGACACTTATGAATACTTTCGTGAGGGTAAAATGTAAAAGTAGCTTATTGTTCTAGAGAGTTCTTCTTGGTGGTTAATACTGTGGGAATTTCACATGAAATTTCCAATCTGGCCATCCATATGTTGGTATAGTCTTTCCCAAATGTTGGTTTACCATAACAGAAACAGTCCAGATATTGTCTCAAGGAGAAGTTTGGCATAATGTACAGTGTATCTGTAAACAATCTAGAGCCAATGAAACAAATTACAAAACTGCCTTTGGATGTTTATTGCACATGGCACCTATGATTGTATCGAGAAAATTGGAGGGAACATAATAATAGTTTTAAAATACCATTATGTGTTGGGGTAATTGGAGACATAGCCAAGTGTCATAGACAAAATTGTAAATCATTAGTATACATAATGGTTTATTTTCTCTCTCTCTCTCTCTCTTTTTTTTTCATAATGGTTTAAAGAAGTGATTTTGACCAAGAGGATTGGAGGGTTATTTTGCTTAAGTATAGTTTTGACTCAAGACTGGAAAATGCCATTGCTCTTTACCTACACTCAACTTCCAGTGAGTGGAAGTTTTCATCTTCATTTAAAAATATGATTATGTCGAATATACTCTTATTTTAGAAGTTTTAGTTTAGAAAAGAACAGATGACATATTACCCACTACACTGTAAGACAGACTTTTTTTACTTTGTTTCATCCTGAAGCATACTAATATTTACATTAAAATAAGTCAAGATCTCAGCAAACTGGGAATAGAAGAGAACATCTTCAACATGATAAAAAAATCTACAAAAAGTCTACAGCTAACATCATACTTGGTGGTGAGAAATTAGATGCTTTCCTACTAAGCTCAGGAACAAGGCAAGAATGTCCTCACTATTCCTTATTCAACATTGTGCTGTAAGTCCTTGCTAACCCAGTAAGACAGAACAATAAAAAATAAAAAAAAATTAAAAAAAAAAGACATCAAAGGTATACCATTTTAGAAGGAAGAAACAAAACTGTCTTCGGTCACAGATGACATGATTGTCTATGCAGAAAATCCCAAAGAATAACAGAAAAATTCCCAGAACTAATAAGCAATTATAGCAAGGTTACAAAATACAAGGTTAATATACAAAAGGCAATTACTTTCATATACACCAACAATGAACAATTGGAATTTGAAATTGAAAACACAATACCATTTACATTAGCACAAAAAAGAAAAGAAAAATAAGTATAACAAAATATATCTAAGATCTATATGAGGAAAACTAGAAAACTGTGATGAACAAAATCAAAGAAGATTTTTTAAAAAGATTTTATTTATTTATTTGTCAGAGATAGAGAGAGAGAGCACAACAGGGGGAGTGGCAGGCAGAGAAGCAGCCTCCCCACTGAGCATGGAGCCTGATGAGGGACTCCATCTTAGGATTCTGGGATCATGACCTGAGCCAAAGGTAGATGCTTAACTGATTGAGCCACCCAGGCATCCCCAAATCAAAGAAGATTTAAATAAATAAATAGATATTCCATGTACATGGATTGGAAAACTCAATATTGTTGTCTGTTTTTTCTGAGTTGATCTATAGATCCAATACAAGCCCAATTGAAATCTGTTATTTTGTAGATATTGAAAAACTGATGCTAAAGTTTATATAAAAAGGCTAAAGGCCCAGAATGCCAGTAAAATATTGAAGGAGAAATATAAAGTTGGAGGATTAACATTACTGAACTTCAAGATTTTCAACAAATGGTGCTGGAACAACTGGATATCCACATGTAAGAAAAAAAGATTCTAGATACAGAGTTTCACAAAATTAACTCAAAATGGATCATAGACCTGGATGTAAGAGGAAAAGCTATAAAACTTCCAGAAGATAACATAGGAGAAAATCTAGTTGATCATAGCTTTGGTGATGACTTTTTAGGTACTATACCAAGGCATGGTCCATGAAACAAACAAACAAACAAACAAACAAAACAGAAGTTGGACTTCATGAACATTAAAAACTTCTGCTCTGTAAAAGGTATTTTAAGAGAATTCAAAGTTAAACCACCAACTGGGAGAAAATTCTTTGCAAAACACATATCTGATAAAGAAAGGGCTGGTATCCAAAATATACAAAGAACTCTTAAAATTCAACAATGAGAAAACCAACAGTCTAATTTTAAAAATGAGCAGAAGATCTGAACAGACACTTCACCAAAGAAGTTAAGCAGGGAGATTACTGACATCATTTATCATTTAGGGAATTGTAAATTAAAACAGTGAGATACCACTATATATCTATCAGAATGGCTAAAATTGAAAACACATAACATCAAATGCTGATGAGGCTGTGGAGCAACAGGTGATGGGAATGCAAAATGATACAGCCTCCTTGGAAGATAGTTTAGCATTTCCTTAGAAAACTAAACATAGTCTTGGGGCGCCTGCGTGGCTCATGTGGTTAAGCATCTGCCTTCCGCTCAGGTCATGATCCCCAAGGTTCTGGGATGGAGCCCTGAGTCGGGCTCTTTGCTCAGTGGGGAGTCTGCTTCTCTCTCTCACTCTCCCTCTCTGCTTTCTCTCTCTTAAATAAATAAATAAAATCTTAAAAAAAAGAAAACTAAACATAGTCTTATCATACAATTCAGCAATTGTGCTCCTTAGTATTTACATAAAGGAGTTAAAAATTTGTCTACATATAAGCCTGCACATGAATATTTATGGCAGCTCTTTTTTATAGTTGCCAAAACTT